GGAATGGGATCACTGCTCGCTAAGGAATGGGATCACTGCTCTGCAAGGAATAGGATCATTGCCCTGTGAGGAATGGGATCAGTGTGTAAGGAATGGGATCCCTGCCCTCTGACTCTGCCTCCCTCCCTTCCTGGAACCAGACAAGGCTGACTCGGCAGCGGCGGCGCTGAACCTGTCCCCCAATGGCATCGGGAGCATCAACATGTCCGTGGAGATCAATGGCACCACCTACGCTGGTGAGAGCCTTGCTGGGACTGGGAGAGCGTTACTGGGACTGGGAGAGCCTTACTGGCAATGGAAGAGTCCTACTGGGAATGGAGAGCCCTACTGGGAATGGAGAGCCCTACTGGGAATGGGAGAGCCCTGATGGGTGTGGAAGAGCCTTACTGGGAATGGAAGAGCCCTGATGGGACTGAGAGAGCCCTACTGGGACTGGGAGAGCCCTGATGGGAGTGGAAGAGCCTTAGTGGGAACAGAAGAGCCTTACTGGGATTGGGAATAGCAGGCTTCTGAGCCTGGGATCCCTTCCGTGCTGAGCACTGATTGCTCATTGCCTTGTAAGGAATGGGATCAGTGCCCTGTGGGGAATGGGATCATTGCCCTCTGGGGAATCGGATCAGTGCCCTGTGGGGAATGGGATCAGTGCTCTGTAAGGAATGGGATCAGTGCCCTGTGTCAGGCTCCAGAGCCAAGGATCCTGTCCTGGCTGAGCGCTGACTGCTCCATCTCCAAGCCCTCTCCCAACCACACCTGAGTCTCTCCCCGCTGGGCTGGGGTCCATGGGGTGGGAAGGCTCCCCTTTGGCCGTGTCCCACTCTCCCTGACACCGCTCTGTGCCCCCAGGGGTGCTGTTTGCCCAGAAGCCCGTGGTGCAGCTCCTGGCCGGCGCGGGCGCCCAGAGCTCCTGCAGCAGCAGCAGCAGCAGCAGCAGCAGCAGCAGCTCCCACTGCTCCCCCAGCCCTACCTCATCCCGGGGCACGCCGGGTGCTGAGCCCTCCACCAGCTGGTCACTCTGATGGGCACCGTGTCCAGCACTGGGCACTGTGTCTGGCACTGGGCATTGTGTCCAGCACTGGGCACCATGTCCGGCACTGGGCACTGTGTCTGGCACTGGGCATTGTGTCCAGCACTGGGCACCATGTCCGGCACTGGGCACTGTGTCTGGCACTGGGCATCGTGTCCCACCCCGGGCACAGTGTCCACCCCGGGCACAGTGTCCAGCCCGGTCACAGTGTCCCACGCTGGCACCGTGTCCCAGCCCGGCTCGGGAACAAGCCGGGAGTCGCACAGATACCTCATCTCAAGGAACCTGCTCTGGCCAGCGAGAGGATGATGATGATGGCGATGATGATGGTGGTGGTGGTGCTGGTGGTGAAACCTTTCCATGCCAGCAAGTTTTCCTTCATCATCTCTTTTTGTCCGGCCTTTTTTGCTTTGTTCCCTCCCTTTCCCTCCTCCTTTTTGCTCTTTGTTTCCTCCTCCTCCCAGGGTCTGTTCCYATGGAGGGAGGGGGGCACACCTGGCGTTTCTCAATCAGGGATGTGGCCGGGATGTCACCAGGGCAGGGTGAGAGCTGGGGCTGGGGCAGGGAACCCTGGTTCTCCTGGAACCGGGGCCCAGTGGGGTTCTGCCCACCCACAACTCGGTGTTTTGACAATCCTGAGAGGGGGAAACGCAGCRGGGCTGCCTGGCCCTGTCCTCCCGTGGCAGACTGCGCGTGTCCCCTTCCTGCTGTGTCCCCASGGGAGATTCCTGCTCTTCCCCATGGTTTTGGCACTGCTTGGTTCTAGCTCTGGTGCCACCTCATCCCTCCTGTTGCCTTCAGGAGTTCCAGATGCCCCTGATGTGTCCTTGAGGAGCCTCCCAGTGATCCCTGACACCCTGAGCCTGCTGGGGCTCCATGTCCTGTGTCCCTGAGGAGCTCCCCAGTGACACCAGCCCTTGATGGCCTGAGGGTGCTGGGGCTCCGTGTCCCCTGAGAAGCTCCCCTGACACCCTGAGCCTGCTGGGGCTCTGTGTCCTGTGTCCCCTGAGGAGCTCCCCGGTGATCCTTGACACTCTGAGGGTCCTGGAGCTCCTTGTCCTGTGTCCCTGAGGAGCTCCCTGGTGACACTGGCCCTGACACCCTGCCCGTGCTGGGGCTCCGTGTCCCCTGCCCCCATGCCATTGTCACCTGGCTCGATCCAGGCTCCCTGAGGCGGCTCTGGAAGCCCTGCAGTGCTGAGTGCCGAGGGCAGGGGTGGCAGAACCCAGTCAGGGCTGTGGATGATGTGGCACACGGGGATTGTTTGGGGCTCTGAACAAACCCCCTGAACCGAACCTGAGCGGGGCGGACCCGCTGCTCTCCGGGGAGAGGCAGAGCCCAGGAACCCGCGCCCTTCTCGCCCTGCCCTCAGGACCCCCAGCTGGATCAGAGCTGGAACCGCCTGGCTCCTGATCAGCTGTCCCCTCACACTGTCCCCTGCCCGGGTGGCCTTTGCTCCAGGCTCCATCTCCTGCCCTGCTGACGTCCCTGCCGTGCTGCAGGCCCGAGTCAGGTTTTTTTGAGCAGACGAAATACCTCAGATACCCGTACTTGTCGTTGGGTTGGTTTTGTTTGTGTTGGGTTGGTTGTTTTTTTTTAACCTCTTCAGGAAGTTTTGGCGTATCCTATCGCTTKGGGTTTCCGTGGGTGGCTTTGCTGACTTTGTGTTTGCTTTTACTCCTTCTCCTTTCCAAACGAATCACCAAAGACAGGAAGTTCAAGCAAGGCTGAGCCTCCAGGCCAGCGGGAGCCGAGCTCCAGGCTCATCCTGGGACAGGGAAAGCGGGGCGGAAGCAATCGTGGTGTTTGGCTCTGGCCGTTATCCTTTGCTTCCGAGCTCCTGGTGCCAGTTTGTGCCCCGTGGCCGGAGCTCTCCCGCAGTTCCGAGGCCTCTCTGGGGTTCGGAAGGTGGCAATGCACATGTCCTGAGAGTGATGCTGCTCCCTGTGGCCAGGGGAAGCCGGGCTCACCCCGCAGGCTCCACAGCATTTCATCCCCGCAGACTCCCAGAGGATTTTCCAACCTCTGGGACTCAATCACATGATTTTATTTTCCCCCTTTTTTTGTTGTTGTTTTTGGTTTTTTAAAATTTTTATTTTATTTTATTCGGGGGTGGGGTTGGGGCTGTTTCCTCTGAGTGGGACCGGGGCACTTTCTGCTTTTCCCTCTGCTCTGCCGCTTGGCCCCGGGGAGCAGAGGCTGCTCCGGGGCRGCGTCGCTCTGTCTCACTCGCTAACCTCGTGTTTTCTTGCACAGAAAGGCACTCGAATCACTGAACTGCTTGGACACTACTCAGAGTATTAATGTTTATAAGCTTTACTCAACCTAGACTGGAACTAGCCAGGGACTAACAGATTGTTTTGTATCCAATTCAGGGAAAGAATCAGGTCGGGAAGCGTTAACAGATACCTCAGTTAAATAAGCTGCACCAATAAAGCGGTCCTGTCCCACTGCAGGGTGACAAGGACCGGCCAGACTGTGAAGAGTTCCCCCGTTGCCCCAAGCCTGGCTTTGACCCGAGCCCGGGTCTCCTGCTGAGCTGCCAGGCTGTGGGGAGGGGGCAGCAGTGCGGGGGAAGGGGGGGCTGCCCCAGCCCGGTGTAGTCTCAGGGTTCSATGCTGCGAGCAGGATGTTCCCGAGGGAAGGAAGCGCTCCCGCTTCGCAGCGCTGCTCCATCCTCCCCCAAAATGCTCCACGCACCAGCCAAAAATCCCCGGGGGCGCTTCGGGCGGCCGGGAGAGCCAAGCCCGGCCGGGAGGGTGAGCCCAGCCCGCTCCCGGAGCTGCCGGGGAGGCACACGGAGGCTGTGCGTGCCCACCCAGGCTCCCAAAGCGAACGCGAACGGGTCACAGCGAGCCCTCGGGGTGCCTTCCGAAAGGCGTTCAGAGGGTCTCCCCAAACCGCTGCAGCAGCCTTGCTACTAAGTTTTCTTACCTATTTAAAATTTAAAAGGAAAAAAAATAATAAAATAAGTAAATAAAAACAAATGTGATAGCCTAGGCGGTGGATAAATACCTCAACGTCTCCTTTCCAACAAGTGTCTGTATATGTTGTTGTTGGGTTTTTTCTATCTTAACAGGTTATCTGAATGTTTATATTCCAATAAACTTCTACCTCTTCACACTGTGACCCCCACGCCTGCTTTGTGCCCTCGGCTGTCTGCCTGAATTTAAACAATTCCCAGATATTCTGGGAGCTGAGGTTTGTCCTGGCAGCGGTTCTGTGCTCCCAGTTTGGAGCCGGGCTGGGAGGATGTTCRGGACTGGGGCTGGATTCTGATGGGAGCCACACGATTTTCAGTCAGAACTCCTTTGCTGGGTGTCGCTGGAGCTGTCCCTACTCCTGTCCCTTGCCCAGCTCCCTAATCCCTCTTCTGTCACCACCTGTTCCCTATAAAAAGCGCCTTTAACGCCTCCCCGCAGCTCTGCTGTTCGCACAGCGCTGCTTTTGCAGTCATTGAACCAGTCTGGCAGCGCACCGCAGCCGTGTCCAGGCCCTCCCGTGCCAGCCCTGCCGGTGCCCTGTGCCCGCGTTTGCCTTGGCCGGGGGCCCGGGAAGGGATGGAGCCCACGACCTTCCTCATCCTCCCCCGTGGGACGAGAACCGGTCCCCTCCTGCCCGCCCCTTCCCCGGACTCCGCTGCCAGCCTATCCAGCCTATCCCAGCCTCTCCCCCAGCTCCCCTCCCGTCCTGCCCACCCCTCCCGGGCTCGGCTGCTCCCAGCCGCGGCTTTTCCCCTTGGGAGCGCGGCGGAGGCAGCTCAAGGACTCTCCGGCCCGTGGCGATGGCCGGAGCAGGTAAGGCGGGCTCTGGAACCACCCCCCGTGTTTGCCGCGGCGTTTATCGGGGGCATCTCCCCCGGCTCCGGGGSTGCTCACACACCTGGGCTCAGGTGAGAAGGGGCTCCGCGGTGCTCACCCCGATGATCCCTGCAGCTCCTGCTTGCTGGAGCCGGTCCCTGCGTGGGATCCTCCGGCCCGGCACCCCAAAGTGGGCACCGCGAGGGCCCCATGCCATTGCCACCCCCCAGCCCTGCAGATTCCCTGTCTGCCCGGGCTGGACACRCTGCGGCTCTCCCAGCTCGCTGTCCCAGGGCTGTAGGGCCGCGGGCAGGCTCTGTCTGGGATGGCACATCCCCCCCCCTGACGAGTTCCCAGCCCGGCCCCTTCCCTCCATCTCSCCCTAAACGCCGCCATTCAGCTCGTCCCAGCCCCGACCCGGCTTCCCGAACAAGTAACAAAGGGTTGGGGAGAGCCCAGAGCGGATTAAGGCACCTGGGCAGGCAGGCCCGGCCCCGCGGGGTGAGACAATGCCCGCTTTTCTCCTGCCCACATCCCCATCTCTCCGCGGAACGCGGCTCTGGCACGGCTCTGTCCCGGCCCTGTTCTCCTAATCCCTCGCTCCAGTGCCGGAGGCGAAGCCAGGTCCAGGCACGGGGAGGTTTTGTGCCAGCAGAGCCACACAGGTGTCACCTCTGACACCCAGGAACTGAGTTCCGAAGGAGCTTCAGCCCTGATATCCGGGAGTTTGCTTTCATGAACCCAAATGCCCACTGTGCAGGGATGCCACCCTTCCAGGAGCCCCTAACCCCGCGGGCATCCCTGTGGTGGTCACCCACGCAGGCACAGCTCGTGGAGGGGGTTCCCTTCTTTTGGGATCGGGCTTGGCTTGTCTGCCCCCTCAGGGAGGAGGTTCCCTTCTTTTGGGATCGGGCTTGGCTTTTCTGCCCCCTCAGGGGCTGCTGCCGCTTTGAACCCAGCCCGGACACCCCAAATCCCTCCTTGCAACTGCCCCCACTCCCCTCCACGCCCCTCAACGCCCGGCTGATCGTGCCCGGSCTGCCTCAGCCTGGCAGCAGCGCTGATAACTCCCCGTTTTCCACGGTCCTTATCACCCCGGGCTGAGGCTGGGTTTGTTTTAGCCCCGGACTCGTGTCAGGCTGCCCGGGCGCAGCTGCCGTCCCACCCTCTGGCTTTGGGATGTCCCAGCTCCATCCCAGCTCACCAAGAGCAGCGAGGGGGTGGCAGGGGAGGGGGCTGCAGCACCCGGGCAGAGCCCTGCCGACACGGCCCCGGTGAGATCCCACCGCTGAYGGCGCCCGTCTCTCCCTCTCTCCAGGGCACCCGCAGGTCCCCGCCGGCGCGGGGCTGTCCCTCCTGTGCCTCGGCGCCCTCCTGGGCTGTGCCATGTGCTGGTGGCACCGCCGGCGCCCGGGCCGCCACCTCGGCCGGGAGCGGGTGGAGCTRGGAGCGGCCGTGCCCGCGGCGACGGTGCCGGTGCCCATCCAGCAGCAGCACGAGGAAGAGGCACCGGCTGCCCGGGTAGAGGAGATTTGGCCGGAGTYGCCAGCCCCCCACGGGGGCTCGCCCCGCGGCAGAGCATCCCTGCCCGCCGTGCCGTTCCTGCCGCAGCTGGCGGGGCTGTGGCAGCGCCGCCGCACCCAACCCGTCCGCAACGAGCGGAGCCCGCTGGTCCCCGCCGCGCCGGGCTCCCCCCCGCGCTCCGGGCAGCGGCCCCGGCTCCACTGCCACCTGCGCTACTCCCTGGCCGAGGCCACCCTCACCGTCACCGTCCTCGGCGTGTCGCACCTGCCCCCGGGCCACCGGGGCTCTCGGGTCAAGGTGTCGCTGCTGCCGCGGTGGCCGCTGTCCCGGCGGGTGTCCGTGCGCCGCAGGAGCCTCCGGTCTGCCCGTGGGGAGCCCCGCCGCTGCCGCTTCGGCCCCTGCGGCCCGGAGGAGCTGGGCAGCTGCACCCTGCGCTTCGCTGTCTACGCCAGGACACGGAGCCTGCAGGATTCCTTCGTGGGGGAGGTCCTGTTCCCCTGTGCCAAGGCCTCCTGGGACCCCCAGGCCCCCTGCAGCTACTCCTGGGAGCTGGCGAGCACCAAAACCAAGCTCGGCAAGGTCAGCACGGCGGTGCTTTCAGTGTTTTGGCTGAGTAGAGCTCGGTCTCAGAGCTCGGGATCTCCTCAAGCAGAGRCAGAGCCTCCTCCAGACAGCACCAATTTCCCCCATGGGGAGGCAAGCCCATGGCAGCGCCTCTTCTCGGGGGCTTTGCAGCCCATCTTCRGGGGGTGCTGGGGTGGAAGGGGCAAATGCAGGGCTGGCACCGTCCCTGCAGTGATGGTGAGCATCACACCCACCTTTGTGACCCGTTTTTGCCTGTCCCTGACCTTGCTGGGGGATGAGAATCGCAGGGCTGGGAGGGGTGGGCGATGCTGGAGGAGGTTTCACGGCATGTCCCGCTCTCTCCTCCCGATCCAGCGCTGCAGCTCCTCGCCTCCTCCCGGAGCCCCAGGCCAGCTCCTCCTCCTGCTCCAGCACCAGGCTCCAGCCGGACGCATCAAGGTGCTGCTCCGCAAGGCCGAGGCCCTGTGCCGGCGCTCCCGYGTGCCGGGTGCTCCAGGTAGGGCACGGGGCCAAAGAGATGCCCAGGTGGGCACAGGGAGCACCTTGCCTTCCTTCTCTTGGCAGATTGTTTTATTCCTTCTTAAACTTCTCCCTTCCAAGCATGGGAGAGAGTCGGAATGAGAGGATCTTCCCACCAAACCATTCCATGATCCTATGATTGTGTAAAAATGAGCACAGAGAGCATAATTCAGATCCAGGTATCTCCAGTATGGCCCCCAAGTGCTTGAAATCTATTGATTTATTAATTTATGGCCAAAAATTAGCACTTGGCTTTCTGCCCTGCTGGCTGTGGTCACCTCTGGCTGTCCCTGCTCTCTGGGATGTGGGCAGGGATGTCAGCTGAGGGCTTTGGGGTAGGCCAAACCTCAAGAGCTCTGTGCTCTCCCCACAGCTCCACAGAGCCCCACAGGGGTTCTGTAGCCCCCCAGGCACCGCTTGGGAACTCCCAGCCCCCTCCCTGGCCTGTGTCCAGAGCAGCTCCACCTCCCCAGGGCTCTGTCTCCGTTCCCAGGCCACTACGTCATCATCCACCTCCTCCACGATGGACACATCATTGACACCAAGGAGACCAAGTCGGTCAGCGGCTCCAACCCTGTGTGGAATGCGCCCTTCCTCTTCAGCGTCCCTGCTGGGGACATCCAGCAGCAGGAGCTGGCCTTGGAGTTCATCATCATGCAGGTGAGGGGGCTGAGGCGCAGGGGGTGGCTGTGGATCAGGAGGTGGCCGTGGCTCAGGAGGTGGCCGTGGCCCGGGAGGTGGCCATGGCAGGCTCAGACCTCAGAGCAGCTGTCCCTGGAGCTTTCTGGGGTGGGATGGCTCCTCTGGGGACAAAGGAAGGTCCCCAGCYGTGTCCCACCGCCCTGTCCCACCCCAGGCTTGGCTCCACGCCCGTGGCTCCGTGCTGGGCCGTGTCCAGGTAGGGCTGCGTGCCCCTGGCACCGGGGCGCTGCACTGGAGGGACATGTGYGCCCGGGCACCGCTGGAGTCGGAGTGCTGGCACCGCATCTGGCCCACACCCTGACCCCACCACAGCCTCCCCGAGCTGTCCAGATGGGAGATCAGAGCTCCATCACCAGGACTGGAGATCAGTGGCGAGCACACAAGCCCATCCTGAGGAGCCTCAGCCTCAGGGCAGAGCAGGAAAGCTTTGCCAGCTCCATGCACCGGCTCYGTGCTCCATCCCCAGCTCCGTGCTCCATCCCCAGCTCCRTGCWCCATCCTCAGCTCRGAGGTTGCACCTGGAGCCTCGACTGGGATTCCTGCGGCCACCACAGTGGTGGCATCTCCTGTCCCACCCGGCCATAACCACTGTCCTGGGCTGGGACACCCCTGAGCAGAGCCACAAGGACACGCCAACATCASCTGGGGATCCATGACACCCCCGAGTGGAGCCGCAAGGACATGCCAATGTCACCTGGGGATCCATGACACCCCTGAGCAGAGCCGCAAGGACACGCCAACATCAGCTGGGGATCCATGACACCCCYGAGCAGAGCCGCAAGGACATGCCAATGTCACCTGGTGACCCGAGCATCCACCAGCGTTTTTAACTGATTGCTGGCCCAAATCAGTGGTTGATAAATAAATAAAGGGGTCAGGATTGATTACATGTGTGGAGCTCTCTCTCCTGTCCATGCGCCACCACGATGAAGACCATGGCAGGGTCACCACGGGGAGGATGGCATGGTTGGGACTGTCACTGTGGGGGTCATCACAGTGAGGGTGACCACAGCAAGGAGAGCCTGGCGGTCAGAGAGGCCTGCAGTGAGGAAAGCTGTGATGAGGGAGACCAYGGTGAAGAAAAGGCTGGTCATGGTGCAGGCAGACTCTGGTGAGGAAGGTGATGGTGAGGCAGACTGTGAGGAGGAAGAGCCAGCCTGGGTGAGGGAGGCCGTGTGGAAGATGAGGATGGCCATGGAGAGGGAGGCCGTGCTGAGGGTGRCCATGGTGAGTCCGAGCACGGGGAGGAAGCCGCGCTGAGGGTGAGCATGGGGGCGGTGAGGCAGGACTGAGGGGCAATGAGGGAGGCCAGGATGGCGGTGAGGAGGGGCGGGGTGACATTGAGGGCCGAAGGATGATGGTGAGGACCGGGTGGCGGTGAGGGAGGACGGTGGAGGTGAGGGAGGACGGGATGGCGGTGAGGAGGGACGGGTGATGGTGAGGAGGGACGGGTGATGGTGARGACCTGGTGGCGGTGAGGTAAGACGGTGGAGGTGAGGGAGGATGGTGGCGCTGAGGGACGATGGTGGCGCTGAGGGAGGACCGGGTGGCGCTGAGGGACGATGGTGGCGCTGAGGGAGGACCGGGTGGCGCTGAGGGAGGATGGTGGCCCTGAGGGACGATGGTGGCACGGAGGGAGCATGGTGGCGCTGAGGGACGATGGTGGCCCTGAGGGACGATGGTGGCGCTGAGGGACGATGGTGGCGCTGAGGGAGGATGGTGGCGCTGAGGGACGATGGTGGCGCTGAGGGAGGCCGGGGTAACGCGCACCGTGAGCACTCCGAGCGTTACGACCGCTCCGCTCCTCGCAGCCCCGGTTTAACCCCAGCACCGGTCCTCCGGGGCGGGTTTAACCCCGGTGTCGTCCCTCCGGGGCGGGTTTAAGCCGGTGCCGCCCCGTCCCGGCCCGTCGGGGCGGGTTTAACCCCGGTCCGGGAAGCGGAAGCGGCGGCGCTGCGGGGCCGCAGAGGCCGGGCCGGGGCGCACCCGCCGAGCGCGGCCGCAGGGGCGGCGGTGAGCCCGGGGAGGGGACAGGGGCCGGGAGGACATGCTTGGGGACACGGCGGGGACACGCGGGGCGGCGGGCGCGGAACGGCCCGGCCCGGGCGGAGTAACGGCTCCACGGGCCCGCGGGCCCCGCGGCCGAAGCGCTGCGGCAGCGCCGGGCCCCGGCGGGCCCTGTCGGGGCTGGAGCCCGGGGCCCGGNACAGGGGCCGGGAGGACATGCTTGGGGACACGGCGGGGACACGCGGGGCGGCGGGCGCGGAACGGCCCGGCCCGGGCGGGGTAACGGCTCCACGGGCCCGCGGGCCCCGCGGCCGAAGCGCTGCGGCAGCGCCGGGCCCCGGCGGGCCCTGTCGGGGCTGGAGCCCGGGGCCCGGGGCCGTGCGGGGCTCTGCGGAGCCATGAACCCCCCTGAGCCCCTGATCCGCTTGTCCCCGCAGATGCATCACTGCAGGAGGTTCCGCTCCCCGGAGCAGGACGGCGAGCTGGGGCCCCGGTGGAAGCGGCGGCGGTCCCGGAGCAGGGAGTATGAGGGCAGGCTGCGGTACCCGCCCCGCAGGGACCTCTCCCGACGCTCTCGATCCAGGAGGTAGGAGCCTTTCGGGGAGGGGCAGCCCCTGAAACCCTTCCGGAGCCCGAGCTGCCGCAGATCGGCTTTAAACCTCTAAATCCCGGGGATGGAAGCGAAGGGCTTACTTGTGCGTGCGTGTGTGTGTATGTGTGTGTGTGTGTATGTGTGTGTGTGTATGTGTGTGTGTGTGTGTGTGTGTGTGTGTGTGTGCCATCCCTGCCATTCTAAAGTTCTTCCCAAAGCCACGCCTTTCATGTTAACGAGGGAATAGCCTGCCCTGGAATCATGTTTCGATGCTGTGGATGCATTAAAAGTCTTTTTCCTGACAGCCCCGCTTCCCTCTGACAGGATTAAAATCAGCTTTACATCAACAGCGCTCCTCCCTCACCTCAGAAAGGATCCCAGCTAAAGGATCCGGCCTCTAACTGATCTTTCCYGCTCCGGTTCGGGATTTTACCTTTGATCCTCTCTTTGTTCAGCGTTTCCACAGGGACAATTGGGCGCTGGAAGCGAGATAAGGCCTCTGGTGAGGGGAGGGTTCTGGAACAGAGGCCAGAGCCGTGCAGCTGCAACGGGCTGCTGGTGGTAGTGGGGCTGGTGTGGTTCCACTGGTTGGACTGGGCAGGTGCAGCCAGATGGGAGTTGAGCTCATCCTTAAATTCCTGAAATGATCTCCCGATTAATTTCTCTCCCCAGCCTGGCTTTTGTTTACTTGAAGGAGGTGGATTGTGAAATAGAGCTGGCGCAGACAATGGGCTTTCCCGATTTTTTCCATCCAATGGGTAATTTGGGACAGATTTGGATGAAAACTGCCCCTTTAGTCCCAGCTTCTTTGGGGAGTGTTTGAGTCCTTCAGGCCGTCATTTCTGCTTCCTTTRTGCATCCAAAGTTCCTGTGAAGCTGCACCAAGGGCTGCATGGATGGATGCTGGGGCAGAGCTGTGGGTTCATATTTTGGGTGCTTCAGCAGTGACCTGGAGCCGCGGCTGCCTTGGCACAGTTGGGGATTTTGATCCTGGGATGACCCCTCCACGTGCCCAGCGTCAGAGCTGGTTGTTGGCTGGGCAGAGGGGTGCACGCAGCAGAAATTCCCGTTTCCAGACTGAAGGTCTCGGCTGGCAAAGGGTGCCGGCATCGACCTGGCCYCGAGCGTGCCCGGGGTCATCGCTGGGAACCAACAATGAGTTCACAATTGCAACATCTTCTGCCTAAAGCACAGCTCCTTTCCCAGTGGGGTGKGAAGCACCCCAGGAAAATCTGGCGAGGAGGGTAGAGGCAGGGAGAGCTGCTCTGGTCATCGCGTGCCCACACTGTACCCAAAAACCTCATGTGTAAATATGGGACTGAGCTTTTTCTGAAGTCTCCTGGCCCTTCCTGGTGCAGAGCTTGGCCAAAAGTTTACCTTATTTACTGGGAGGTTGTTGCTCGAGGAGCAGGAGCTTGGTTACAAATTTTCCTGCTGGCTCTTGCTGATGATCTCTGGAGCTGCTGTGTGCGTGTTCTGGGACCTCCAGTCAGTCCCTGTGGGGTGACAGCCAGAGCCCTGCTGCTGCTTCTCATTTATTTAGGAATTAATGAGGCGCCTTCCTGAGGGAGGAGGAACAGGGCTGACAAACACTCGTGCGTAGTGGCAGAGTGGAGTCACAGAGCGTTAAAGGGCTGGAAGGAATCCCAAAGCTCCTCCAGTGACACCTTCCACTGTCCAGGTTGCTCCAGGTTCTGYCCAGCCTGGCCTTSGACACTTGCAGGGATGGGAGCCCACAAGGTGGGTGGTCTTCCCCCAGCTCTTTGAAATGTGGACATTCCACACTGTTTTATCTCAAAAAATTCACCTTAGTGGTCAGAGTGTGAGGCACAGAAGGGTTGGAAGCTGCTGCCACAGGGAGTGGGAGCAGCAGGATCTCTCTGGTGACAGGAGCTGAAGGGACAGCGGGGATCTGTAACAGGGCAGGGATTGAGGCAGGATATTGGGAAAAGGCGCTTTTGGGATTGTTGGGGTGTCCTGTGCAGGGCCAGGAGTCGGCTTTGCTGGTTCTGGCTCCAGCAGGGCTCGCTCYGGGCACCGCCAGGCCGCTGACGGTGCTGCTCTGTGTGCCGCAGCCACGAGAGGATGCCTTACCAGCGCAGATGCCGGCGGGACAGCGATGCCTACAGGTTCGAGGAGCGCAGCCCGTCCTTCGGCGAGGAATATTACCCGGCACGGCCGCGCAACTGGCGGCGATCCAGGGGCAGGGAGCAGCACCGGCCCAGGAGATACCAGCAGCACTGCCGGAGACGCAGGAGCAGGTCTTGTAGCAGTGCCTCCTCGGTGAGTAGCATCCACCACGAGCTCAGGGTTTAACTGTTCTTGCCTCCTTCCAGCCCCGAGCGCCCTGGGTGAGTACCTCGAACCCCATTTCTGTGTCTGTTGGCATCCCGTGGAGTGTAAAGTCCCGAACCTGTGTGGTGTCGAGCGGGGAGCGTTGGCGGTTGCAGGGTTTTACCGGGCCGGCCCCGGGATACGTGAGGGAGCTAAGCCRTGTTCTTGGCGGCCAGGGAAGGGATCAGGGAGAGCTTCCAGTGGCACTCACGTGGCAGCTGACGAGGGACAGCCTTGGCCGAGGGCCAGCCCTGCTGCCAGGGATCCRGACGGCTCTGCTTTATCCACGGCCGGGGATTCGCTTCTGCCTGCGGCTGCTGCTGCTGCTGCTTCAGGGGGGATTTGGTGCGCAGCATTGCTCGGTTTGGCTTTGCCTGGATCCCCTCCTGGCAGGATCCATCAGTCCGGGGCTCTGGAGATGTTTTTGACCCGTTAGTTCTCAGAGRGGGCACACGTGTGTCCTCTTTCCCTGTTCCCACTTGGATTTCAGCTTCTCTGCAAGCTTCACCCGGAGCGTAGTGTTCCTGCCAAGGATTAGCCGGGAATATTTGGAGCTGGGTGGGGGGTTGGTGCCAGCAGTACCCTGGGAGTGGTGTGAGGTGTCAGCCCAAGCCCTTCAGCACTCTCCTGCTGTAAGGCACAACCCCCTCCCACCTGAAATGTTGTCACAACCCAGTGACCGGCTCTGATCCCGGCAGTTGGGTAATCTCGGGCTGGGAACCCCCGGGCTCCTCCTTTTGATGCCTTTCCAGTTTGCTTTGGGATGTCAGTGTTGGAGGGAGCCAGGGCTGTGCTGGGAGCGCTGGTGGTGACGCTGTGTGGGTCTGGCCTGGGGACCTCAGTCCTCTGACACCTCACAGCCATCCCAGCTCCCCTCTCCACCTTTCCTCTGTTTCAGCTGATTTTTTGGGGAGTTTTGATCTTAGCTTGTTATTTCGGACCAGCTGGGGGGGCGAGGGGCACGGAAAAGAAGCCTGCTGGAATCTCAGGCATGGAAACATGAAGGTTTCCATGAATTCCTTCGGCTGCAGGGACTGTAACTATTTTTAAAGCTGACTAGAACAAGGTGAGGAATTAGGGCAGCTCGCTTTGTGGACCGCGGGTCCTCGCAGGAACGTTGGGCTGGTTTTCCAGTAGAAGCTCTCCAGTAGCAGGGGGTGAACGTGACCTTGGACCTTGCCTGAAGCGTTCCCCGGGGATTGATTGACCTGTCCTGCTCCTAAAGCTCTCCCAGTTTTAAAAAGGCCCCCCAGGCCTGTGTGGCCCAGCAGGGCTACAGTGGATTTAGGGTCAGTGTGGCTGGCAGCTGGCCCTGTCAGGACGGGCAGGACACGGATTTGCCGAGGTASGCGGAGCAGGATGGACAGAGGGAAAACTGCTACTGTGGCTTCTACTGGACAGCCTGTCCAAGCCGAGTGCTCGTCACGCTGGCCAGCCAGAGGGGCCACTCATCCCGTGCCTCCTGTGGGGCACCGTGGTGCCAGGCCAGGCCAGGCCGCCTTCCCGCTGGAGCTCCCCGAGGCCGCGRCTCCCGAGCGAGCTCGTTTTCTTGCCGTACCTGTAGCTGTTGATGACTTTTCTGTTTTGAAGTTAGTTTGTGTCTTGACGTGTCCCTTGCAATATCCCTATCGTTATATATGCTGTGTGCCTTATGAAATGCTGGGATCTGGAAAATCCACCCACCGGCGCCCCGTCGTCTCTCCACCTTTGAATGACCGCACTCTTTGCCGTCCCGGGGGGCGGTGTGTGCAGAGAAGCCAACAGAGCAGTAAGCGCAGCAGGAGCGTGGAAGATGACAAGGAAGGCCACCTGGTGTGCAGGATCGGCGATTGGCTTCAAGAGCGATGTACAGCCACCTTTCGTAAAACTTTACCTCTACTTTTACCCCCGGGTTAGCCCAGATCTCTCGTCCTGTACTGGAGGGGTCTCTAGTGTTTTATTTACTGACCAGTAACTTGCCTGAGGCAGAGCGTAGACGCTTGAGATTTAAAGAGTGTAGCAGTGAGAGACAGTTCTTTTGTTTGCTTGGACGTTTTATCGCTGTGAAGTTGCAGGAGCCATGCTCTGGCCGAGCCTCCCGGGCTCACAGCTGCCCYTGTTCTCTCTCCTAGACGAAATCGTCGGCAGCCTTGGCGAAGGCACTTTTGGGAAGGTGGTGGAGTGCGTGGACCATGCCAGGTGGGCACCTCGGGCACCTTTCCCTGCCTCTGTCCTTCGAGATCCCTGCACTTCCACCTGGGACCAAATGGGTCCCTTTCCACTGACCAAACGTGTCACTGCATCCTCAGAGCAAGGGGGGAGGGCCTGGCTCAAACCTCAGCCCCCCAAATTCACAGGCTGGTGTGTCAAGGGAAGCAGGGGGTGCAGAATAGAATCAGGGAATATCCTGGATTGGAAAGGACCTGCAGAAATCAYTAAAGTGCACAGACACCCCAACAATCCCACCTTGTGCATCCCTGGGAGCGGTGTCCCAGCACTCCTGGAGCTCTGGCAGCCTCAGGGCYGTGCCAATTCCCTGGGGAGCCTGAGCAGAGCCCAGCACCCTCTGGGGAAGAGCTTTTCCCTGATGCCCAGCCTGACCCAGCCCCAGCCGTGGAAGGCTGTTCAGCTGCTCTGAGCTCCTGCTGAAGGGTGGGCCCTGTGACCTCTTAATCTGCCAGGGCAGTGTCCATTCTCCTCGTGAACCTCCCCCATGGTTACATCTGACCCCTGTGTCCTCCTGACCTCCTGTCTGGCCCTGAGTCTGGGGTCAGTGAGGCGTGGGGCTCTCCTGCCTCCTCGGGAATCCCTGGCACGGCTGCAGGGACAGACAGTGGACTGCTGTGCCAGGAATGTCTGGTGGGAGTGTTAACCAGCCTGCTTCAAATTAACCCCTGCTCGAGCGGCATCAATGGTTGGCAGAGCTTTTTTGGGACAAAGGATGCACAGGAACGTGCCTGGAGTGATGGGATGTATCTCTCCCCATGGGCTGGGCACGTGTGGACACAGGTTTTATRTCTAACTCCATCCTTCCCTCTCCTCCTTTCCAGAGGCAACTCCCAGGTGGCACTGAAAATCATAAAGAATGTGGGGAAATACCGAGAGGCTGCCAGGCTGGAAATCAACGTCCTGAAAAAAATCAAAGAGAAGGACAAGGAGAACAAATTGTAAGTTCYCAGCACCAAGTCCTTGCATGCAAGGTACCCAAAGCACCTGGGGGCTGAGGCTGGGCCTCCTGTAGAGAGGGGGAACTGCTCCCATTCGTCCTGCTGGAACTGGGGAGCTCTGCAGTCACCTGGCTCAGAGCTCTGCTCACCGAGCCCTCCAGCAGCAGGGACAGTGGCTGTCCTGCGGGTCCCCGGAGGGTGGCTGACCCCTGCCTCCATCTCCCTGCACAGCCTGTGTGTCCTCATGTCGGACTGGTTCAACTTCCACGGCCACATGTGCATCGCCTTCGAGCTGCTGGGCAAGAACACCTTTGAGTTYCTGAAGGAGAACAACTTCCAGCCGTACCCTCTGCCGCAGATCCGCCACATGGCCTACCAGCTCTGCCAYGCCCTGAGATGTGAGTGACCCAAAACGGGCTGGCAGGAGCTGGCCTGGAGCAGGAACGGGCTGGACACCGGGGCTGCTTTTTTATGGTTCTTAGTGAGATTTTTTTTTTTCTCTGTCCTCTTTTCCCTGTGCAGTTCTACACGACAACCAGCTGACTCACACCGACCTCAAGCCAGAGAACATCCTGTTTGTCAACTCGGATTTTGACACGCTGTACAACGAGAATAAGGTGGGTTGTGGATGCACCAGGTGTTCCTGTATTTCCCTCCCTGCTGAAATTGGCTCTTCCCTGCTCTGTCCAGGCCTTCAGAGCCTGTTTGGTGGGACCAAACTGAAGTCAGGCCTCTTCTTCCTGCCGCGTTTTTTAAGAGCCTTAAGGCTGCCTGGAGTTTCGGGGCTTTCCTTCAGGCTGCTCTGGGATGCTGGAGCTCCACAGTCCCAGCCCCTCTGAACTGCAGTTCTGGGGGCTCCTCTCACCCCCTGCCCCGTGCTTGGCTTGCAGAGCTGCGAGGAGAAATCCATCCGCAACACGAGCATCCGCGTGGCCGACTTCGGCAGCGCCACCTTCGACCACGAGCACCACACCACCATCGTGGCCACCCGGCACTACCGTCCCCCAGAAGTGATTCTGGGTGAGAAATGCAGCTTTTGGGGACTCTCGGGGGGGAGCTGGCTAGAGGAAAACCAGCCTGGGAACRCTCCAGCTCTTGGGATAGATAATTTCTAGCTCTGAGTGGAATCCTTGTGGGTTCAACAAGGAGARATGGGGTGGGGGTTGCTGGGAGCACGCAGTTAATTTGATTTTGTTTGCAGAGCTGGGCTGGGCACAGCCATGTGATGTCTGGAGCACTGGCTGCATTCTGTTCGAGTATTACCGCGGCTTCACACTCTTCCAGGTAAGATTCCTGYGCTCTGAGAACCCTTAATGTGCACAAGAGCTCAGAGTTAGGGGAGGGAAACACACACCAAGTATTAAAAATCAGAAGCTGAGTGTGAAAACAAAGCCTGGAACAGGGCTTGGACAGGRTTTGGTTCACTGCTGGGTTCAGGTTATTTCATTCTCTGAAGAAAGGGGAAAGCAGGAGATGAAGAGTTTGATAGGACCTGGTGGAACGCTTTGTCCCCTTGTCCCCGTGGAGGTGACAAACCTCTGTCTCACCCACCACTGCTCTGTTCCTCTGCAGACCCATGAGAACCGTGAGCATCTTGTCATGATGGAAAAAATCCTGGGGCCACTTCCATCCCACATGGTCCACAAAACTCGGTAAGAGCCCTGTCCTGAGCCCAGCCCAGACCCCTGGAAGGGAGRGAGAGGAGAGATCCTGCCTGACCCTCACCTTCCCTGTGCAGGAAGCAAAAATACTTCCACAATGGCAATCTGGTGTGGGATGAGAACACGTCCGACGGCAGATACGTCCAGGAGAACTGCAAGCCCCTGCGGGTAGGTGCTGCTCCCATCCCTGGATCCTGCTGTGGGGCTGAGGGATGGGAATTTCCATCAGAAAATTGGGGAGTTAGGGAACGCCAGGCTCTCATCTGCAGGGATGCTGCTCTGGCTAAAACAGGACGGGGAGCAGGGAAAGGGGGGGGATGCTGCATTTGGGAGGGGAGGCAGCCGTGACTCAAGGTACCTGAATCCCTTTGGGTATCAGGGAAGGGGAATGCTGCATTTGGGATGGGAGGCAGCCATTTTTCATGGCTGAGTCCCTCTGGATAGCAGGGAAGGAGGGAATGTTGGATTTGGGAAGGTTGGCAGCCATRCCTCAGGGTTCCCGAGTCCCTTTGGATAGCAGGGAAGGAGGAATGTTGGATTTGGGAAGGTTGGCAGCCATGCCTCAGGGTTCCMGAGTCCCTCTGGATAGCAGGGAAGTGGAGGGATGCTGGATTTGGGATGGGAGGCATGCTTCASGATTCCTGAATCCTCTGGGTATCAGGGAAGGGGCAGTGCTGTACTCTGGGATGAGAGGCAGCCATGCCTGAGGGTTCCTGAATCCCTCTGGATAGCAGGGAAGGGGGAATTCTGGATTGGGGATGGCAGACAGCCCTGTGCCCCAGGCTGAGTCCCTCTGGCTGTCAGAAAAGGGGGGATGCTGGATTTGGGATGGCAGACAGCCCCGTGCCCCAGGCTCAGTYCCCGTGTCCCCCATCAGACGTACATGCTGCACGACTCGCTGGAGCACGCGCAGCTCTTTGACCTGATGCGGAGGATGCTGGAGTTCGACCCCTCGCAGCGGATCACGTTCTCGGAAGCGCTCCTGCACCCCTTCTTCGCCGGGCTCTCGGCCGAGGAGCGGATGCTGTGCGGGCGCGGCGCCAGCCGGGACCTGAGCAGATGACGGACGGATGGCCGGGATCYGCCCTGGATCCAGCGGATGGAGGGCTCCGGCCTCTGCAGCCGGGCCCTGCTCCCTCCCCGAGTCCGCTGGGGCTGGGGCACTGCCACGAGGACCTTGGGGAAGGGAGGGGGAAGGAAAGCGCCATTGGAAAGCACAGATTTGTCTATTTATATGTTGTAAAGTTAAAATAAAGTGTTTCTTATTGTTTGATACTTCCCTTGTAGGCGGGTGTAGGGTTGTGTTGTGCCAGCTTTGCCTTCCCTGCAGAGGAAGAGGGAGATGGTGAAAAATCAGTGTGTGGCCCRGCTGCAGGAAGGTTCCAGAAGGAGAGCACACAAATAAATGGCTGCACACAAGAGCACACATGAAGAGTTGCACTTTATTTCAGGGCAGCGCCCCCCGCAGCGGCAGGAATTGGTCGTTACAAACATCAGGTCACAGATGGGGGATCAAGCAGTGCCACAGTGCAGTGACRGTCACCTGTCCGGGCCAGAGCAGCAGCCAGGGGCACTTGCTGTGATGCTGGGGCAGGTGAGGCTACAAACTATCCCGAACACAGCTACGACAGTGCTCCATTCTGGGAATGACCTCTGGCACCGTGGGGGACGGGAGGAGACAACCCAGAGCCCTTTCTGGGTGTCCCAGTGCTCCAGAAGAGCTGATCGCTCACGTTACAGGTGTGTGAAGCCGGTACCTCCTCAAAAACCATCTGGCTGTGAGGGGAAGTACAGCCAAATACCCAAACCTAGTGCTGAGCACAGCCCCTGAACAGCCCCGAGCTGTGCCTGCTGTGCCCTAAACACCCGGGATCGGGAATCCCTTTCCCTACCTCAGGGGCTGAACCCTCCTCTTTGTGCAACACTGTTCACTTTATTTTTTTTTTTTGCTTCAACGTGGAGAACCATTTCAAGGCTGGCAACACGCAGGGCCTCAGTGCTTCCCGGAACTCCATCCCTGCAAAAACACCTTCCCCTGCTCCAGCACCTTCCAGGCAGGGCAGCTTCAACCCTGCCCCGTTCCTGCTCCGTGTGTACCAGCTACAGTTCAACAGCCAAACCCAGAAAGGGCAGGGAAAACCTGCAGAAAGCAGAAATTGAAACAGCAATTCTCAGTTACTGAGTGTCTTGAGCAACGAAGAGTGGAAATAAGGGGACTAAAGCTAACACTGACTACAGCAACAACCTTTTTAACCCACTGCTGCCCCTGGAAAACAATCCGGGGAAACAGCCGAAAAAACAACAAAGGCAGAGGGAAACTTTGAGTTTGTGTTGTGAGTAACCACCACGCTGCTGTCCTGTCCCGGTCAGAACCACAGCCTGGGCAATGCCCCCGTGGCTGGGGCTGAACCGTGGCTCCTGTCCCCAGGATCGAGGGCAGCACTGCCCAGTCTCCGAGAGCAGCTGAGGGGAACCAGGGCTCGGGCCAGCCCGGGCAGAGCCCCTGGTCCTGCTGAGGTAGATATGGCAACGTGCAGGGGGTGAGCCCGGGGCTCCAAAGCCTCCTGGGCCCTCCGCACTGCCAGGCTGTGCTCAGAAATGGCTCCTTTCTGAGCAGGGAAGGCCCTTCCCTCCTCCAGCAACAGCCCCGGCCTTTGTTTGAGCAGAGGAAAAGGGGAGCTGAGTGCCTGACTAAAGCCCAACTCAGAGCACAGGTGGGTCAGCTGTGGGGCTGGTGATGGGGCCRGACCCCCATGTCCCTGTGCTGCGGCTCCCCTGGACCAAGGCACCGTCTGGAGCTCTCCCAGAGCCCACAGGAGCCCTGGGCACGGGGAAGGTTTGGCAGGAGCAGCAGAGCTCCCTCCGAGCACTGCCCACGCTCCCGATCACCTGCACCCCCAGCACTGCCCTGGCTCAGCTGCAGGGYACAAAACCCTCTGGGGGCACGGGGCATTCCCGAGCTGACCCCAAAACCAGCGAGCTGGTGGCTCCTCAGCTTGCCCCTGCTCCAGCCACGGCACCAAGGCCAGCAAAAGGAACACAGAAAGATAATCCAACRCTTGCTGGCAGGGCCTGGGACAGCAGCCCAGCACCAGAGCAGGTTTCCCATGGAAATCCTGCCCGGGAGCCCCTGGCACAGCCCTGCAGGAGCAAAGCAGCTCTCACCGTGCCCGCTGCTGGCAGCAGGCAGGAGCCAGCTCCCTCCTTGGGCGATTTCCAGCACACACACAAGCCTTTCATTCCCAAGGGAATGAACAGATCCAGCAGCTGCTTCCCAAACCATCCCAAATGCTGCAGGGATCCTGGAAGGACAGGGGAACGTTCCCAAAACATCACCTGCACCATACACCGCTCAACAAACCCAGGGCAACCCTGCCCCGCTTCACTCCCCCGGCCCCAGCTCAGCCGCTCGCTGGGCCAGGACAARGAAAGAACCAAAGAAAACAACCCCAAACCCCACGAGGATCCTGGAAAAGTTCTTTTCCATCCCACGGACGTGGGCTTCACCCACGATGCAAACAAAGAAAAGCCAAYAGTACATAGGCAGTAAGGCCAAGCTGAGGAAGGACATCAGCGTTCCCAGAGCTTGTGCGAGCCTCTGGCTCCTGACACAAGCTTTCCAAACAGGGAACCCCCTCCAGGAGGGGCTGGGGAGGAGAGGGAGCTACAGCTGCCTTCCGGAACACAAAACAGGGAACAGGGCAGGCCAAAACAACAGCGGGACCAAATGAGATTTCCCCTCAACACAAGGGATTTCTACACAATCAAGGGGTGCTGCTCCCACCAGGACATCCTGGCTGGGAATACCCAACCAGAAGGAGCAGGAACACGTTTCAAACCTCCAAACCACCCTTCTTTGTACCACGTGCCAGCCAGGGCTGGGCAGCAGCAGCCGCCTTTGCCAGGGACGGATACCATGGTCCCGCACGTTCCTTCATCCCATGGCACGAGAGAACAAAAACGGCTCCGCAGGAACATTCGCTTCCTTCTCCTCCTCTTCCTTTCTTTTTTCCGTTTGTTTTTTTTTTTGTTTTGTTTTGTTTTGTTTTGTTCCATTTTACGATTATTCTATTTTTTCTTTTTAAATACGCAACATTTCTTCTGGCAGGTGAACCCTCCAGAACTTCACATCCTTTTTTTGATTTTTTTTTTTTAAGGCGTCGCGAGCCGAGCAGCCGGGATCCACCGGGCAGCTTGGTTTGATTGACAGAGCTCCTCCTCTCTCCTTTCCAAGCCGGGCACCGCGCTGGGCTCTAAGTGGAGTGCAGGGGGATGACGAATTTGCAGCCGAAGGGCGAGTGGTAGTTGATGCCCACCTCCTGAAAAACCTTCTGGGGGATGCCAATGTCACAGAGGTAGACGCGGCCCGCGCGCTCGCCCAGCGGCAGCGGCAGCCCCAGCGCCAGCGACCACTTGGCGTCGATGCCCAGCTCCATCTCGCTGATGGGCGGGTCTATGCTCAGCACGGGCGCCCGGTTCTGGTTGGCCCAGTCCACCACGGCTTTGTACCACGGCTGGTCTCGCAGAAAGGCATTCTCGTGACAATCCAGGCAGTTGATCACCAGGTCAACGGGGGTGTCRGGGAGGTCTGAAAGAAACACGGACACGGCTCAGAGCTTTGGGGTTTGGCCTCCATCCGCTCTCGCTGTTATTGCAGATGGACACTGAACAGCAGTTTAACACTCTGGGGACATCTCCAGCCTCACAGGTACAAAACATCATMAGTGGCCAGTGAGCAGCCCCAGTGCCACTGAGCTGACCAGCCCCGGCAGCCCAGGGGAGCAGCAGGGCACTTTCCATCAAAAAGGACCATTTTCTAYTCCACAAGGTGAAAACAAGGACAGATTTTGGGAACACAACTGTCTCTGTAGAGCTGCTCATCACACCAAGCTCTGTGACTGTCACTTGCCCTGCACCACA